GCTGTGTGGCACATGCTGCGTGCCCACTGCCCCACCCGGACCGTCGAAGAGCAGCTGCAAGAGCTGTTTAAGGATGCAAAGCCCTGCACCCTCCCGCCCACAACAGTCGCGAGAGCAGTCGACCGAGCGTTGCGAGCCTGCTTTGCTCTGCTGAAATTCACCGACCATATTCAGGTTGCCTACGTCGAAGGCTCGACCGGAAAGTCGACGTATACTTTGATAAGGGAAAGGATATGCTTAATATACATTGCCGATGGTTGGACTTTGCTTGTACGCACCACCGGTCGTTCTACCGGCCCTGGTCTCCGAACAACCTCGCCGACCCGAACGCCCCGTTCTTCTGCTGTCATGTGGTGGAAGCATTTCGCACACTCGGCTCCAGCGGCCCGGACTACCATGCTGTGCTTCATGATGGCAATTGTGCGAACACTGAGACGGCGCTTCTCCATGAGAAAGCAGGTAAGTGGTCATTAATCATCCATGGAACAACGCTGACCCCTTTGGTACAGCCCTCCCCAACGACGTGGTGCCCTGTGGCTGCCGCCAGCAGTTCGCTCGTCAGACACACCGAATGTGCCTCTTTACCGGTCTGTCGCACACATCGACATATTGTACCATGATTGCAGATCGACTTTTTTATGGAGTGCCGTCTGATTGACTATCGCCATGGTCATATGCGAGTGTGGAAAATCTTTCCAGTAGACCATTCGGAAAGTGGTTCGCTCTGCATTCTGCAGTATATGATGATCTGACAGGAACGTACGGCGCGGGCGACCCCCACGTTACCGGAAGACAAGCGGTATGATCATTGCTATGGAACCCAGCACGTTCTATGCTAACACTCCATGTATATGCAGGCGCCCGAGATTGCTTCGATTTGGTGTAGTCACCTTATCTTGGATGCGATCAAATGTGGAATACCTACCCCCGCGAGACTCCTCATCCACGGTGAACACGGTGAGGGTAATTTTTGGGGTATGTTACGGGTCTTAATTCTCGAGGATATAAGTAAATACTCATCTAAGAAGTGCTAGGGGCATATGATATCCCGTATCTTTGCATCCAATATACAGTCTCACCTCCCGCATTCTATTCATACCGCAGTCGCCCACGTCGGGGTAATACCCTTACGTTCACGTTCGGTTCAGACGCGGTAACCGGCGAGACGAACTATTGTTATCGGCCAGACGACCTGGCCGAAGGACACTGCATCTTGTGCTAGGGAGTGCTCGTCTGCGGAACGATAACACTAAATACACCGGTAGACGACCTGAACTCATCTGCCGATTGCTATCAGTGGTATCCGTACGCTCCACCACTGGAGCTGCGTGCGTGTCTTCACGTGTTAGGTCAGGATTTGCCCTCGCTCTCGGTGAGCGGAGCAGGGCATCTAGATCTTCGTCCCTTCGGTTACATTGTGTGAGCACTTAAATCCACTGGGAAGCTAGTTAGAACTAACCAGATACAGCAGGATACGTAAGATCCCCCATCGCGCTCCTCCAGCCATTCTTTCACACAGCTCAGTTGTACTAATCCCCAGCACTGGTTACATTGCAGGACCGCACTCTCGTCCACCTGCTCTTCATCGCCTTCTAAAAAAAACTGACAATAGATAGCAGGCACCTCGTCGCTGAGACCGAGGCTATGTAGTTCCAGGTCTTGAATCCCTTACCCGATATTATATCCCAATAGGGCAGCTGGTTGAGTCGGTGAGATGCAGCATGGAGAGCGCTGTTCCTTGTTCACCATGGCGCGGAGGTGTGACGCTGATTACTAATTTTCAAGGGCACCCAAATGTTGATAGCCAGCTATGGTCTGCTTCAATGTAAGGTGCTTCAGCAGCAACCTGGGAGGGAGGACTGGCATGTTGCCGGTCACGGAAGACGGCTCCATATCACGGCCGACCCAGCCGGTTGGCCCGTCGCCGCCGGTGTCATCGGGCACAAAGAAAGTTCCTCGCGATATCATGAAAGTTGGACTGTAATGTCAAGGATTGAAAGGCTGTTCATGTTAACAGACCTGTCCTATGGATCTTCAATATCTTCAATTTGCTGGCTATGGCCATTGCTCCTCCGATCCTGTCTCTTGTCTTAACAAAGCTCAAAGGGTCCTAGACTGGTCGTGGACAGACAAGATAAACTTCACAAAATAGACGATGACAATTTCAAGTACGGATATATGATTGAAGGTTTATGGATGACAATGCCTAGGCTCGCGTCACAATTTGGGGACGCTTGCGGGGCAACGCGACCGCCGGAATGCGCTGACCTCCTCTCCACAGCCAAAGAAACTCGCAGTCAGTCGACCCCCAGCACTAGCTTATTCTCGCTTGTTAGTGCCTCCTTCCCTCTGTCGGGATCGCATCGACGCCTGTGCCTTCTGGAGGCGCTTCATCTCTTTCTGGAGAATTTCGATATCTCTGATGACTTTCTTCATGCTTCGAGAGTTTTCCTCGCGATGAATGTGTTGTTGTCCGCACACCGCGGCCTGCCTTTCCATCGACCTGCGCTATGATCAGCCAAACTTATATCTCTGGTTGTGAAGCTCCCAAGGCACATTGACAAGTTTCCAAATCAATGATTGATTCTGCTTAATACACATGTAACTTTAAGCCGAAAGAGGGCCTGAGAAGAGATAATATTGGGCACAAAGGGCGGAGGGAGGGAGCACTTACTGTTTTAGTATTGGTTGTAATCGCTCCTCATGATGCTGTTGCGTGGGATCCGCTGGTTTGTCTCCTGGCATAAGTTCGAATCGAACCTTACGAGAGCGTCTGCTCTCAAGCAATGCGCGAGCGCGTTCCGATGGTAAAGCCACCGGCTTTGTACGAGATGACTTCGCATTTTCCGAGGAGCTTGTATGTTCTGAGGAACCGGAGCCTCCCTCCAAACTCTCATACCATTTTTTGTATTCTGTGAATGCTTTGCTGGGACGAGATTCGGGGGTTTTCTTGTCTTGCTGCGCCATTGGAGAATTTGGGAAAGGGAGACAGCGGAATTCGATGAGGTTGAGGGTGATGAATCGTCGAGGAGGAATTCCAGGGGCAAGAGTTCAATCGCCGAATGAAAATATGTGGGGAGAAGTTCTGGATTTCTCTCCGAAAAGTATTATTACCACTGCTACATTTCCTTGGATTGACTGAAGTGGAGATTTGAGTTATAAGTGGACCAGCATGGTTATGGATAGTGGGAATGTCAACGTTAGGTCGTCCGCGCTGAATTACTAACGTTCTTCGACGTTCACCACCTGAGTATAACCGTAAACGTTTAACCTCAAGGTTCAGCTATCAATACAATAGTGATGGAGACAGCCATTCGTGTCATATGTTAACAAGACGCCCTCCTATGACACCCAGCAACATGCCTACGCAATCCTCGCCCGTCTAAGAATCGGGTGGGACCTTTGTGGGAACCTTGAATTACCCGTGTGAGATGGTAGGGTGGCGACAACAGACAGCCCGTTTCAAATAATACCGTAAAGGTGAATTGACTGCAAGATGTGTCCCAGGTGACTGCAAGCCTCGAGACACGCCTCAGCCAAATGGCTAAGTATTTTTTCTAGAAATTGTCGTACATCACAGGGAAAGTCATTCTGCAAGCAAAAGAATCTAAAGAATATTTTTGACAGATGCTGACAACGTATTGGAGGGGAGAGTAACAAATAATTAGGCACGTTTTCCGTTCGACAGGGCCAAACAATTCCCTTGTTGACGAAAAATGACAGACTTTCGCGTTGGCTCTGGAAGCACGACCCGGAAGTTTTTCTAAGACGCCGGAGACTCTGGTGCAAGAGGGACGACACATACATTGAACAAAATAAATGGCTGTGTGGATCATCTCCAAAGCGATTATTGGTCTCATACGAGACGGTGACCTACAGTACCATGCGGCGGACAGCCCGTATGAAATGTCGCCAGCCCTAAATATTACTGGCAGCTGGACCTGAACACCCCGCGTGCTGTCTGCTTCAGAGTCGATTATCAGGATGATACAGCTCGTGCAGCTGCAATGGCTCTGGGGAAATACCGCTCGCCATACCAGAACGCATGATATCCGAGAAATCGCTGTATTGGTTGAGGAATAATTTGCTGTGCCTAAAATGGAACCCAGCCCTTTGGCATCCCGACAATAGAATAGTGCGTAGAGAACTCTTGGTCAACCAGTCAGTCGAAAGGATTTGGCATCATCCGAGTTTGTTCTCACCGGATACAGGTTTCTTGCAGGGACCGGGCGAGACATCGAAGCATTCTATACGAGTTAGAGAGCGTCTAGGTTGAAGTAGGAGCTGTGTCCGTACTCACCTTGTGGTTTCCGGTCTTGAACGCACGCGGGCGAGCGGAGATGTCTGATACAAAAGTCATGCCCTGGTCAGGCTGCGACATCCTCTTGACGCATTTGCCGCCTGGCAATTCTCGTCTTCGATGTCGCCTCGTTATCTTCGGCATCGTTCTGTCCCAGCGCCCGTAGTGGAAGGGACAGATGACCTGCTCTGGTGGACTGTTTGAGTATTTGATCTTTTAGCAAGCCAGACAGTCAGGCAAGATGCGCTAAGAAAAGTAGCATATACTATTAACAGTCATGAAGAGGAGAGGACCCCAAATTCACAATTGGAGCGCAAGTAGCTGTATAGTCGTCTAAGCTGGCCACGTAACCGGGAGAATCTTCCTCTTGCCAGTTCAAACGCAACCGATGTTGCTCAACGATCGGTTGAACGCGCTTTTCAACGACCGTTGAAGGTGGTTCACCGTAAATATCTTGAATATGAGATGCAACCGCCAAGATATGGTTCCATGGGTGGCCCCGTCTAGATTCATGCACGCCACGGTTCGTAGTGGGGCGCTTGGCGAGATTGGCCGCAAATTCTAGATCGCATACTTCAACGGATGTTGAATCACCTCAACTGGCCGCAAAAATGAAATATTTTCTGCGGAATTACAGCATAGTCCATCATCTCTCTCATAAAATCTGCATAGCTGGCAGATATGGGCAGCCGGAGGCGAAAAGACATAAAAGGACGCTCCACGACCGGTCTAGAAAGTCGGGACTTCCATCCTCATCCTCCGAGACGGCACGGTCTTGTCTGCCCGCAGAGTTCAAATCTTTTTGGTCTTAGCATTCACTGTCATGAGCCCAGTGAAGTGGGGGATACGTCCTTTCGGAGGACACGCTCTGCGTTATCAGGGTAATCCGCAGGGACGTCTGCGAAACCAAGAGTCTCCGCAGGGAAGAGCTGCGCAACCAAGGGACTTCGCAGGGAAGAGCTGCGCAACCAAGGGACTTCGCAGGGAAGAGCTGCGCAACCAAGGACCTCCGCAGGGAAGAGCTGCGCAACCAAGGGACTTCGCAGGGGAGCGCTGCGCAACCAAGGACCTCCGCAGGGAAGAGCTGCGCAACC